GAGTCTCCACCACTTCAGTCTAGAGTAGCCGGATCTTGAGCTGGCGGTTGGCACGTCGCCTGTCGTACGNCTGACCGTGAACGGGCGTTCCCCGATCCCTTTCGGCAGCATGCACATGATTTCCGTCTTTTCCTCCGATACCATCAGTCCGAACAGACCGGCCACGCGAACGATGACCGACATCATCTTCTCGAGACTTTCCGGCGAACGCGAGACGATGGCCGCGTCGTCAGCGTAGAGCATGGCCCACAAGGCCTCCGCGTCCGTCACCACCGTCGTCTTCCTCCCCGCCGACCTGCCCTTCTTGCCCGTGTACTCCACTTGTGTCCCGATCTTGACCATGTCCGCCGTCACCTTGGGGTCCTTGTCGAACTCGGCCACGGCGACCATGAGCATCGCGGCAAAGAACAAGTTGAACAGCAGCGGGGCCAGGTTGCATCCCTGTCGGAGGCCTTGGCCCACGTCGAACCATTCCGAGTACTGCCCGTCTTCCATTCAAACACATACCCTCATACCCTCGTGGAAGTGGCGAATGACCGCCAGCATCTTCGGGGACACGCCGAAGCGTCGGAGCACGTCCCACAGTAGGTCTCGGTCCACCGAATCGTATGCCTTGGTGAGGTCGACGAAGCACGCGAACACCGCAGTACTCTTCTTCCTCGCGAGCTCATGGAGCCGCTGGATGGCGAACAGCATGTCGAACGTCGACCGGTGTGGGCGGAAACCGCTGTGCTATTCCGGGAGGATGCCCTCTCTCTCGCAGTAGTGGCTCAGTCGTGTTGCGACGACCTTAAGCAGCACCTTGCCGGCGTGTGCGACGAGAGAGATGCCCCGGTAGTTGCCGCACTCCATCGTGTCCCCCTTCTTGAACAGCACTTTGATGGTGGCATCCTTCCACTGCTGTGGTACGTCCCCAGTCTGCCACACGTCCACGACAATGGCGTGGAATTCGCGGAGGAGACCTTGATCTCCGTCCAGGAAAAGCTTGATCAGCTCAGCCGGTAGGTCGTCCGGCCCGACGGCCTTTCTGTTGGCCATTTCCCGTACCGCTTCCTCAACCTCAAGTAGAGATGGGATGTCGTCGAGTGGCACGCACGTGGGCCACCGCTTGACCTTGTCAGCCGCATGCAGGTCGATGGTCGGCGACTTGGTGTTGAGAAGCTTGTGG